TGAACTTACCTCTATTCTCCGTCCTTTTCCTAATGGGCTCATTTCATTCATTCATTCAACAAATGTTATGAACCCTGTGAGCCTTATTCTTTGTCTCCTGTGTTCCTGTTCTCTATTCTCTACTCTGTTTGGCACTACTTAATGCCCTGGGAAATAGGAGCTGACCCCTAAGGGCTGCATCATTCAGGATTCTGGCTTTCAGTTCCCAAAAGCCAGTTGGGAGCAAGGCAGATCAAGGGTGGGTTCTCTCCCTGCTTTGATTTCATGGTTTGGCAGGTAGTGTCCTGAAGGATGATTCTCTTCTAATGCACCTCCTGTGTTCACCAGCTCTAAAAATACTCACTATTTTATTTTATTATTTAGTTTTTTATTAGTTTATTATTCTATTTTATTTTTAAAATTTTTATTATTTAGTATCAGGGATTGAACCCCAGGGCACTTAACCACTGAACCACATCTCCAGCCCCCTTTTTTTTATTTTAAATTTTGAGAGAGGGTCCCATTAAGTTGCTGAGACTGGCTTAAACTTACAATCCTCCTATCTCAGCCTTCCCAGCCACTGGGATTACATGTGTGCATCACCACAACTGGCTATGCTTACCAACTCTAATAACATCATTTCCTCCCCTTCTCTGTAGGCTTGTGTTAACTACTCATCCTTCTACTAGGTTCTTGGTAGCTCTGAAATCTTTGTAGATTTCCTTAACTTTGTCTACACTTCTCTGTAAATTTTCCTTTTATTCATTACACTTCAAATCCAAATCTTTTCCCACTAAGACCCTAACCCAAATAAGCTTCTGTGTTCTACATTTGTGCTGCTCAATAAAAATATAGCAGATCCACAGGTATAATTTGAAGCTTTTTAGTAGTAATGTAAAAATACAAAGAAACACATTCAGTGAATATTTTGGGGGGGATACTGGAGATTGAACCCAGGAACAGTTTACCACAGAGCTACATCCCCAGTACTTTTTGCATGGCTTATTAATATTTTTTATTCAACTCTACACATCTAAAATATTATCATTTTAATGGTAGTCATTATAAAAATTTTGAGTTATTTTACATTATTCATACTAGGTCATCAAAATTGGATGTGTATTTTATATTTTCAACACATCTATTTGCAACACATTATATTTGCAACACATCTAATGTGACTTCAAAGAAGTCACATTACAAGTACTCAGTAGCCACACATAGCTAGTGGTTACCATATTGAACAGTGCAGTTCTAGATACTGTGTTAGGGATGGAGGTACAGAGATGAAAACCGATATCCATACCAGCAAGAAAAGTGGACAAGCAAGTGATACAGCAGATGTACAATTAGTACCATGCACAAAATGCTATGGAAATCGAGCTTTCCTTCAATGGGTTTTAGAGAGAGGAAGAACAGGAAACACTTGAGTGGATCCTGAAAATTGAAGAATCTTTCTAGAAAACAAAGCCATGCAAGCAGTAAGACTCTTCACCTTTCCACTTGCCCTAGCTATATCAGCTCTTTGAGCATACACCTGAGATGGACATCCTGCTCACCAAGGACCTCTCTAGTCATTCTGCTCTAGGCCTAGGTTTGGGTAGACCTCTACAGTCTTAGCACAACCTTTTGGAGTAGAAGTTTCCAAAGAAGTCTCAATTAGGAAATAAAGGGGAGGATGGTGGTGAAATGTGTGCATGGAGAGAATGCCTAGAACCAGAAACTATAAAATGAATCTAGGTTGAAAGAACCTAAGGTAACATAACTCTGACCACTGGTTGGCTCAGTTGGCTTAGGTTCCTAGGCACAAAGCCTGGTCTTATTTTTCTCATCTCATCTGTTTTCTTTGCTATTCAATAAGCATTGTTACTGGTAAGGTATTAAAGCCCACTCTTCCTATCATTTGGTGACACTTTCTTTTCTAAATATTTTTTAGTTGTCAATGAACTTTTTTATTTATTTATATGTAGTGCTGAGAATCAAACCCAGTGCCTCACACATGCTAGGCAAGCCCCTCTCCACTGAGCCACAACCCCAGCCCTGGTGACACTTTCCTGTTTTGTTTTGTTATCTTTTGCCCTTATATGAGCCTGATTTTTCTAATGATTCTGAGGACTTAAAGACCAATATCAACATCCCTGTGGTATGTCTCTCTCATATGAAAATCCTACTACTCTTCATCAAATGTCTCTCTTTTCCCATTCAAAAATTGGACACCCCGTAATCTACCTCAAGAAGTTCAGACAGTTCTGCTGGTTCTCTCTGCTTTGAAGAGAGGATATGACTTAAGTAACCCCAAGACAAGGGATGGTCAATCTCCTCTCTCAACTTACCTAATCAACAAACTTCATTAAATATTTTTGGAAGACTCACCTGAGTGTTCTGAATCTCCCAAACTTCCATTTTCTAACATAAAAGTACTTCACACATAACATAATAACAAAATGGAGTGGCCCAGCTCTTGACCCGAGGGCTGCATGTGAGGTTGCTCTGATCCTCTTTGGGAAATAATCAAGTTCCCTGCAAATCTCTCTGGGTGACTCCATAGGACTTATTAGCTGGTGAGGATTTTTAAGGATTCACAAGCAGTAATGGGAGAGGAAAGGAGGATAACTATTCTTAGATGCTAGAAAAGAAGTATGCACTTAATACAGACAAACATTCTGGCGCCTTTCTGTATGACCAGAATTCTGATATCCAGGAGGCTGGAGAACTGTGGCTAACTGTTTACATCCTTTGTCTGCAGCAGTCAGATGCTATACACTGTAGCCTTATTTTTCTTGTCTCCTTCTTAAATCAACCATAAATCATTTTCAATGCCGAGCTTTCCACAAAAATTCCCTGTGGTTTCTTTTCGTCTCTCACTCCAGCTATCACGTTGCGATTCCCATTGGCAATCATGTCAGCATCTGTTCTCCATACCAGCACTATTTGCAAATACTTTGAGACCAAGTCCTTGATTAGTACTCAAAAGTTCAACTTCTGTTTTCTTAGAGCCAAAACGCATACTGTATTATCCAGTTTAAATAGTTTCTCGTCTGGGCGGCGGGCTTCATCCGCTCTTCCCATTACTCATATGATTATTATTTTTGTTGTTGTTGCTTTTAATCCTTTGCTTTCAATTCACTCACTGGATAGATGATTAACTTGGGTCTTGAACATTGCTAACTTTTGCCATTCTGAGCTATGTGTCATTCTCTCCCTAAGGATCTTTTCCATCCTAGATACTGTGGACTCTGAGAGGTTCTTTTACTCTCAGAGGCAATTTATTGTGCCACCTTTTCCTTTTTTTTTTTCCATGTAGTCTAAGTTACATTTGTAGAAAAACAATCAGTTACTCTTAAAGCAAAATTCCTATGGGTTACAGTTTCTTTCATCTCTCTAGCTTGAAACAGGATTTTTTTTTTTTTGGTTGTGTGTGTGTGTGTGTGGGGGGGGTGTTTTGATGTTGGTTTAGGGTTTTTTTTTTTTTTTTTTTTTTTGGTACCAGGCATTGAACCCAGTGGTGCTTAACCACTGAGCAACATTCTCAGCCCTTTTTAAATATTTTATTTAGAGACAGGGTCTTGCTGAGTTGCTTAGGGACTCATTAAGTTGCTGAGGCTGGCTTTGAGCTAGTGATCCTCCTGCCTCAGCCTCCTGAGCCACTGGGATTATAGGCGTGTGCTACCCTGACTGGTTGGTTTGGGTTTTGTAAGTGTGTGCATGTATGCAATTTGATTTTGCCTTGGTTTTATTTATGTTTCTAGATGACTTGGTTGAACAGGTCTTCAATGGAGATGGGCATGCCATTCAGAGCACTGTCAGGCAGTAATAGTTTTAAGAGTTGCCCTTTTTTGCATAGACACTCTGTTTCTGGGTTTGTGAGAAAATACATACCCAATATGTTTGTGAGTATATGCCTGGACACACACATGCAGAAGTAATACACCCAGAGAAAGATTTTACTAAGCACAGCAGCCCAGAAAAGTCACATGTATATTGTATGAAGAGCTCTCTTAAAAGTCAATCAAAAGTATTTATGCATTTATATAAGTAGTAAAGGAAATAATAATTCGTAATGAAAATCATTAATATCCTAATGCTACTATGAGTACTAACATTTTTAAATTGTTCTCCATCATTCAGGTAGTATTCTACAGGCATTTTGTTGAAAAATCCATTTAATCCTTACAACACCTCTATGAAATAGGAACTACTATCATCCTGTTGTTTACAGATGAGAACAATGAACTGCAGAGAGGTTAAGTGACTCATCCACAGCCAGATTAATGAAAAACTACATAGCCAGACAAGGCACATGAGATAAAATGCACTCTCAAATGGAAAAAATGTTAAAGATTTCCAGGAATCAAAGAAATGTAAATGAAGACATTAAGTATCATTTCATACCACATCTTTGGGGAGGTTTAGTTACACTGTTACTCTCACATATGGTAGCAACAATGTCAATCAGTGTAATCCTTCAGGAAAGCCATTTGTTAGTACTTACAAATAATGGTAAAGAGGGACTGGGGTTGTAGCTCAGTGGTAGAGCACCTGTTTAGCATATGTGAGGTGCTGAGTTTGATTCTCAGCACTACATGTAAATAAATAAAATAAAAGGTCCATCAACAACTAAAAAAATATTTTAAAAAAATAATGGCAAAGAACCTCTTTCAACTCAGTCATCACACTCTTAGAAAGTTATTTAAAGTTACTCAGTAGAAAGTTATTAAAAAAAAAAAAAAGAGCTCCCAGTGGCTCAGGAGGCTGAAGTAGGAGGATCCCAAGTTCAAGGCCAGCCTCAGCAATTTAGTGAGGTCTTAAGCAACTTAGGGAGACCCTGTCTCAAAATATAAATTTTAAAAAGTGCTGGGGACAAAGAAAATGAAAAAACAAGGGAATAAAGTGCTCCAAACAAACCAAGCTACTCCCATAAGAGAATCCATCGAAGAAATGTCAGAGAAGGAGTTCTGGATGTATTTAGTAAAAATGTTCTACGACTTAAAGAATTATATAAGAGAGCAGGCACAGGAGTTTTGCAGTAAAATAACAGAATCTCTTCAGGAGATGAAAGATCACTTCTGTAAAGATATATTAGAGGTCCTGAGAAGAAACAAAGAAGAAATCATTGAAGGGAAGGAATCACTAAACCAACTTAAAAGTTCAATGGAAAGTATCACCCACAGACAAGACCATTTGGAAGATAGAACCTCAGGCAATGAAGACAAAATATTTAATCTTGAAAATAAAGTTGACCCCACAGAGAAGATGATAAATTGCATGACATTCCCTCACCCAGACACCATGCCTGAACAGCAACTGCTAAAGCCAACCGAGTGGAGCTACTGTGACTACTTCTGGGCTGATAAGAAGGATCCCCAAGGCAATGGCACGGTGGCTGGGTTCGAACTGCTGCTCCAAAAGCAACTGAAGGGCAAACAAATGCAGAAAGAAATGCCTGAATTCGTCCGAGAGAGGATAAAGATTGAAGAGGAATATGCAAAGAACCTGGCTAAGCTCTCTCAGAACTCCTTGGCTGCACAGGAGGAAGGCTCCTTGGGAGAAGCCTGGGCCCAGGTGAAGAAGAGTCTGGCAGATGAAGCAGAGGTTCATCTCAAGTTCTCCGCCAAGTTTCACAGCGAGGTAGAGAAGCCCCTAATGAACTTTCCTGAGAACTTCAAGAAAGACATGAAAAAGTGTGACCACCATATCGCTGACCTCCACAAGCAGCTCGCCAGCGCTATGCATCGGTGGAGAAGGCCCGGAAAGCCCTCACAGAGCGGCAGAGAGACCTGGAGATGAAGACCCAGCAGCTGGAGATCAAGGTGAGCAACAAGACAGAGGAGGACATCAAGAAGGCACGGAGAAAGTCCACACAGGCTGGCGATGACCTCATGCGCTGTGTGGACCTCTACAACAAGGCCCAGTCCAAGTGGTTTGAAGAGATGGTGACCACCACTTTGGAGCTGGAGCGGCTGGAGGTGGAGAGGGTGGAGATGATCCGGCAACATCTGTGTCAGTGCACACAGCTGCGGCATGAGACAGACATGTTCAACCAAAGCACAGTGGAGCCTGTGGACCAACTGCTTCGAAAAGTGGACCCGGCCAAAGACAGAGAGCTGTGGGTCAGAGAGCACAAAACGGGCAACATTCGCCCTGTGGACATGGAGATCTAGACACGCCTGTGCGGCCCCGGGGGTCCTGCCCAGGAGAGGGGCTGGGGGTCCCTTGGAGAGGGGGTGGTGGCTCCCGCTGGGTGAAGCTGCCCTCCCACCCACTCTCCTGTCCACTGAGGAGAGAGGAGAGAGCTGGCAATTCCAGAAGGGTGATCTGGATGGCTCAGCTGGGGAATCCCAAATATTCCCAGGCCAAGAAGACAGACCTGCAACCCCTCCCTTGTCTCCAAGACTGAAGCCCCCACCAAACCCCATGCCGTGCTTGTTGCTCTGAGAACAAACTGAGGCTGGAACTTTGTGGTCCCTGCTGAGTTCCATAGGGGTGGCTGTCACATACTTGTGCCCTTGGATGCCCCAAAGCCCATCCTTCACCTGGTCCCTTTATCTCCCAGGGCTTTGGAAGATCAGGGAAGGGCTGTCTCTGCCTCCAAGCCAATGTCAGGATCAGAGTCATGGATAGCAGGCACCGTCAGCTCAGCATGCAACTAGAATCCTTTATGGCCCTCTCTCTATTTTTCTTATTGCGTTCTGGGAGCCCAAATCTGGCTTTTCTTGGCCACTTTTCATTCCCATGGGTCTTGGGAAGGCCTGTTTTCTGTCTTCCCTGACCAACCCTGCCCAGAGAGGTCAGATGGAACTACCTCATTCGGCAAATTAGCCCCAAGTCGGAGCATTGAATCACGGTTCCTATCAGACCAGGCATCATCTCTGAAGTCTCTGGAAATCCTGATCCCTCCATTCCTCAGCTGCTTTCTCAAGGCCGTCCCCACCCCCACCCTGCCACCCCTGCCCAAAGTTCTCCGCCAGGGAGACCTCCTTCAGCTGTGTGCATGTCCAAAAGCTTTGAGAGATAGAGATGAGCCAGAAACCATATGGGGTCTGCCTCCCATGGTGTCCTGTCCAACACTGGGCTACCGTGACCTCCGCTTTCCCACGCTGCCCACCAAGGGCTTAATAGGGCTAGGGCAGTCCCACATGGGAGACAGGTTAGGGCAAGTCTTTGTCAGACTCCATCTGCTTATGCAAGATAGGGTTTGGACTGCTGTATGAGCATTGCAAACTCTCTCTCTCCTTGCTATCCAGGTGTGTCCTGCCACCTGGACCTCCAGCTCCTCCGAACTTTCCAGAGCCCTGCACCAAGCTTTCCCTCTGTCCATCTTCCCTGGAGGAGCCTGAGCCAAGTGTGACTCAGGAAGCTTTTCAGCACTACCCCTGGTTTCAGCCCGCCACTTTCTTTCTCGACTACAGCAAACACCATCTCCACCATCTTAGCCGAGAGAATCAGCCTGAGGGGGCTGGGAGAAAATATTGACCCAGTGAGCAAGGAACAGCTTCTAGCCAGAAACCCCTGTCCCGAGAGCCTACCTTTCTTCATCTTTCCCATGGATGGCTTTCGGCTTGACCCTTCCGTCTCCCATGGGGGCAGAATTCTACGAGCCCAATTCACGGATCTTTCCCTCCATTTTACATTGCTAATAATGGATGTTAATCTTGAATCCTTCAGCATCTCTTCCATTGAATTAGAATGGCTTTCTCATAGTTTATTTTAGAAAGATGTTCAATATACTAAAGCAAACCAGAAAAAAAAAAAAGTGCTGGGGATGTGGCTCAGTAGTTAAGTGCCTGTGGGTTCAATCCCAGTACCAAACCCAAACCAAGCCAAAACAAAACAAAAACCATACAAATAAAAAATTTGTTGCTGTATTCTTTATGTTATCAAATATTGGAAGTAATCAAAATTTCCAAATATAGGGAATATGGAAATAAACATGGTTCCTTAATGAAATGGAATTATGGAAACTATCATTATGAGTGATAATTGTAATTTTAAAAAGTCATATAAAGTCATGTGAATAAAGATTTTACCTATTTTATGATTCCAATTATGTAAAATTATGTATACATATGTTCAAGGGAACAGAATGGAATACAAATGAAAACACTTGGGATGTCGGGTGGCATAATGCTAATCAGTCCATTTCCCCCTATTTCCTTTATTTTTATTGATTTCCATGTGATGGCAAAATCAAGAGTTCTGGGAAAAAAAAGATTGTTTCTGCCTTTTAGTAGTACATAAATTCACTGAGAATTCATAAATCATTGGCTTTTAGAGCAGTAAGAGACTTTATCAGACTTTGGTTGCAACTTCCTAATTTTACTGATAAATACAATGAGGCAGAAAAAGATTGACTTGCTCAATGACACATATTTAATAGGAGCCAGAACTTACAATTCCAAAAATGACTCACAATCATTTAGGGTACATTTCCTGCAGAGAAATTAGGTTGTTAGGACCATATCTTGAAATAGATCATGTTAATAAAAACTACTTTAGCCTAATTTTACTTTCTTTTTTCTGCAATATCAACTGCCTCCTTTCCCCACCTGAAATAAACTTTATGCCAAAACAAGAGTCCTGTCTTATTCTTGACTGTATAGAACACATCATGCATATTTTTGGCATTTCAAAAAATGTCAAAATATTTATAAAGAAGATGAATATTTCAATAACAATAGGAAGCTGCTAGTCATTTTCCAGTGACAGAAGCAGCAGGAATTCAATTAAGATTTGATAAATCAATTAAATTGAATTTCACCTTCAAACATTTTTTAAAAAAACATTTCTAATACCAAATGGCCAAAAAACAATCAATTTAAACATCTTAGGACTAAATTCTGGGGTAGAAATGAAAGATATGAGAGAATATATAAGTGTTTTCACACTTTTGTAGAAAGACCCTCCTCTGCTCACCTGTGACCATAAAAAGAAAAACATGTCCCCAGGAAAAGTGAGACCCATGTGGCAGATGAGGCTCTCTATTATGAAAATTATTTTAGACAATGACAGATTTTTGCTGTGCTCTCCAGAAGGACAGATGAAAATGAAAAACCATGGGGAGAAGCTAAAGAAATTTTGGATGATGGCTTTAGCACAGTTTGATGTCTTTGAGGACATCAACCAAATAGCACCATCAGAGAAAGTGCTAGTGATGGCTGATCCCACAAAACTGTGCACCTCACCTTTGGCAGAGCAGCAAGCAGCACCAGCTTCCAGCATGGGGACAGGAGCATGGCCATCTCAATGGGTGAGGAAGCAGGCTCTGAATACCACCGATAGAGGTTAAGACAGTTGTTGAGACACTCTGGAAACTCAGGAAATCCAAAATAAAAGAAAAATAAGGAATAAGAGAGGAAGACTTCTATAGGCAATCTGTAATTTCATATTACTAGTTATAGATGTATATAGGTTAAGACCTACTCAAATTTAATTATCTCACTTCCTTTCAAAATTCTGAACCAGTTCATAATCTATGAAATTCTCTGATATTTTCCTTTCAATCACAATTGAGTGGTTTTCAACCCTGACTAAATATCAAAAGCTCCTAAAGAATAATAAACGCCAATGTTTATGCCCCACATCTTCAGAATCCAACAGGAGGATCCAGGAATCAGTATGTTTTAAAACCTTCCTTGCTACTTTTAATAAACAACCTAGGTAGAGATCCATTGTTTCAACAAGAGCAGTTAGAAGCTTTCTACAATTCTAATTTTAGTGTGCATAGGAGTCACCTGGGGAACTTGTTAAAGTGCAGATCCTGACATAGTAGGTCCGGTTGGGGCCCAAGAGAATGAATTGCTAACAACCTCTCCTGGTGATGCTGATGCCACAGTCTGCAAACCACTTAACTGTAGAAAGGACTTAGAAAAATTAATACAGATAGTAAATTCCAGAATACAGTAGGCAGAGCCGAGAACTAACAAAATAATGACTTAAAAAATGTACAAAACAAAAAATACATGGTCTCTTTAATATGACCAAGAATTTTAACTTGGTCACAGCTGTGGTCTAGATGTTTGTATAAATCCTCCATTAACAAATTCATATACTGAAAATACAATTCATTATGTTGAAAAAAAATGTGGTTTTTTTGGGGGGGCGCATTTATTTATTTATTAATAACATGACAATAGTGGAATGCCTTACACTCATTATTACCCATTTACAGCACAATTTTTCATAACTCTGCATATAAAGTATATAAAGTATGTCTCACTAGGTTGCTCAGAATGACCTTGAACTGGTAATTCTTCCAACTCAGCCTCCTGAATAGCTGGGATTACAGGTGTGCACTACTGAGCCCAGCTAGGACCAACCTTTAGGCAATACAGTAAAGATGACATTTGAGTTGCAATTGCAGTGAAACTGAAATAATGGGTAAGATGAGCATGAGCTCTGAAGGCAAATGCAAGACCAGAAGAGGGGAAATGAGTACTTTGGTCAGAAGGCCAGCGTTGGAAGAAATATAGTGCCTAAAATGTCTCACTTGGGCCCTTAACAATCGCAGGGTTCTTTTCCTGTGGTGTCCAGCACTGAGTGTAGCCAGGGCCAAGCGTAACACACTGGCTTCAGGCTCTCTCCACCGGCTCATCACCCAACCATGATGAGTGGCGGAAGGCCTGAACTCTTCTAGGCTTGCTTAGTGAAGGGGTAGGATGATCCCAGCGCTTACTTAGAGGTGGAGGTTATCAGCAGGTGTTGTGATTATGTCTTCAAGGTTCATCCATCTTCTAGCATGTGTTGGAACTTCCCTCCTTTTTAAGATTGAGTAATATTCATTGTACTACATGCCACATTTTGTTTAACCATTTGTCTGTGGAAAGTCACCTGAGTTGCTTTTACCTTTGGGCTATTATGACTAATGTTATTATGAGCCTGGGTGTACAAATCTCTTCTCAGGTTCCTGCTTTCAATTCTTTGGAATATATGTCCAGAAGTTGAACAACTGCATCATATGGTTACTGTATTTTTGTTTTTTTGAGGAATCACCGTATCATTTTCTGTGGCTGCACTATTTCACATCCCCACCAACAGTGTACAAAAGTTCCAATTTTTCAGATTAGACAAAGGGTAATGAAGGGAAGGGAGGCGGTATGGGAATAGGAAAGACAGTAGAATAAATCAGACAGAACTTTCCTATGTTCATATATGAATATATCACCAGTGTAACTCCACATCACGTACAACTACAAGAATGGGAAGTTATACTTCATGTATGTATAATGTCAAAATACACTCTACTGTCATGTATATCTAAAAAGAACATTTTTTTTAAAGTTCCAATTTTTCTATATCCTGGCCAATACTTGTTATTGTATCTTTCTCTCTAGTGCTAGGGATCTAACCCAGGGCTTTGTGCATAAGAGGCAAGAGCTCTACCACTGAGCTATACCCCAGTCCTATTTTCTCTTTTTTAATAATATTCATCCTAATGGGTATGAGGTGGTATCCCATTGTGGTTTTGATTTCATTTCCCTAATGATCAATGACATTACACATTTTTTCATAAATCATTGGAGATATATATATATATATATACATATATATATACACACACACACATAAATATGTATGTATGTATGTATAATATATTTAAAGAAATGTCTATTCAAGTCTTTTGCCCATTTAAAAATTAGGATGTTTTATTGTTGTTGAGTTATAGGAGTTCTTTATATATTCTGGCTAAGCCCTTACAGATATGATTTGAAATATCTTCTCCCACCATTTCTTATTACTCTGTTGATTCAGGCTCTCTCTGCTGATGTGTCCTCTAAAGCACAGAAGGTTTTAATTTGATATAGTCCGACTTATTTAGTATTTATTTTATTACCTGTGTTTATGATGGTCATATCAGTTAAATCACTGCCAATCCCAATGTCATAAAGTTTTCTCCTAAGAGTTTTAAAGTTTAAGATTTCAAATTTACATTTTAATGCATTTTTATTGAATTCTTGTATCTGATATAAAAAGAATCCAATGTTTCTTTTTCTTTTCTTTTCTTTTCCTTTTTTTTTTTTTTTGGTATGAGGATATCCAGTTTTTATAACACTGTTAGTTGAAAAGACTATCCTTTCCCCCATTGAATGATTTTTGTCACCTTTATCAAAAAGGATTTGACTACAGTTTCAAAAGTTTGTTTCTGGACTCCACAAGGGCTAGCTTTTGAATTTATGTGAGGATAAAGTGATAATAATGGCAACAGGTGAATCAGATCAAGTTCCATACTTGGGTAACCATTTCAGGTGAATGGGGACATGGAATAGGTGAAGCTTTGTAGCAATTTTTCATCTATTGTGGGGGGATCTTGCAGATCTCTTGAAAGTGGTTCAATTTCATCTCAGCTGTGACCAACTGGATGGATTGTGGTGATGCTGAATGGTGCTGCAAGGTACTGTGATTGGATGCCCTGAACATTGTGGCAGGAGGTGATGTATATGGTGTTATGGGCAACATTATTAAAAGTGACCTTGGATGCCAAGGAGTAGGAAATACAGAGCTTTTCTTGAGTACCTTTCTACATGTGTTGAATTTTCCTGGGTAGCACATGACCATATTTCTTTTTGGAGGGCCGTGAAAGAGTCTCAAAAATGAAGATACCAATGAATATAATGGGGTTGGCTACACTGTGGTGGTCACAGGCTGGTGCTTGCTTTATAAAAACAAATATTTAAGTAGGAGGTGTGTACTATATCTCAGATAAATGGACATCCACTCTGAATTGTAGGCCTTTTAGAGCAGGACAAAGACATATTCATTTCACTATTGTCATGGCAAGAACAGTTGCTGGCACACAGCAGATATTTAATAAATGTCTATTGACTTTAATTGAACATAAACCAAGGAAACTAAAATGACTGTCTGAAATAAGAAAACTCAACTTTTCACAGTAACTGTTTCTTATAGCTAATCTAAACTATTTACTCTAGGAAGAATCCATTTCTTCTTCTTTACTCAAAAGAGACAAAGTCTTGATCACCATCTGTATTAGTGTTCACCAGAGAGACAGAACCAATACTAGACAGACAGGCAGACAGATAGAGGGACAGACAGACATACACTTACTCCTCCCACCTCTGCCTGCCACACACATGAGGATTTATTAGGGAGGTCAGGTATTCTGGTACTAGGAGTGAGAATTTGCTTCTCCTCAGCCTTTTTGTTCTATTGGGCTCTCCGGAAACACTGTCATAGACACACACAAAAAATAAGGCTTTTGCCAGCTCTCTAGGTGTCCCTTCATCCAGTCAAGTTGAAACCTGAAATGAACCATCAGACCATGCTTTATAAAAACAAAAAAATCTATTTACAACATAAATTATAGTTATTAAACACCAGTCATCTCTGGGATCATGCCTAGCATTTGTGCATTATATTTAGGCCTTGCTCTAGCCTTCAGGTAAGCATTATCTTTATTTTATTGTTGGGGACATTGTGGCTTGGAGATATTAAGTTTCCTGCTTAAAGTATATATCAGCAATAGTGAAATTAGGATTTATATCCAAAATGGGTCCTGTGTTTCTTTTCCTGAGAACTCTTTTTACCTGTTTCTACTTGAGGTCTATCATTCTCATCTTCCAGCATGCTTTCCTTTTAGGGTAAACAAACACATTTTCTTCAGCCTTTAATCACAGCCCTTAAAAGCAAACTATTAATAATTTTTTGTGTCTGGCCTTTCCCCAAGTTCTCCATGTTCCTTGAGTTTGGTATCAACCCAGCATTTAAAATATTGTTCAGTCACACACACACACACACACACACACACACATCTTTGACTACAACAAAATAAAACCATCTCTCTTTCCATTTTGAGTCAGCATAGAAACTATTTTGCACATTCTCACATGCACAAAATATCAAAATTTTTAAAAAGTGGGACAACTAAAAGGAACAATAGCTATTGGCAAAGTGCCAGGTGGTGAGGTATGGATTTTTAAAAAAATGTGTATTTTTTTAGTTGTAGGTGGACACAATACATTTATTTTATTTTTATGTGGTGCTGAGGATGGAACCCAGTGCCTCACACATGCCAGGCAAGTGCTCCACCAATGAGCCACAGCCCTAGCCCCTGAGGTATGGTTTTGCATACTTAATGACCATTGTGTGAAAAAAGACCCTAGGTACATGTACATATGGTACAGTGCTACACTGTGTACAACCATAGAAATGTAAAGTTGTGCTGCAATTGCGTACAATGAGTCAAAAAGCATTCTGCTGTCATATATACCTAATTAAAAAAAAAAAAAAAAGACAGCAGGGAAAAGCAACTTAACATTTGGATCAAACATTTTCTAGTTTGATCTAGAGCCCAGATCCTGGCACTATAGATTCTGAGGTAAAAAGAGTTAAAAGCTCAGGAGGCCAGGCAGGACAAGAACCATGATAAAACAGATTTTTAGTCTAATCCTCATGATTTAGAGAAAATCATTCAAACTATGGGTGGGTTCTGGCCAGTGAACTCTGGTAAGCGCAGAAACTGAATAATTTTTATTTCTTGAATCTAATTAAGATCTCAGGTTTGTATTTCATCTATCTTTACTTTTTTCTTGTTTATACCTTTATTCTCCAAACCTAGAGGAGATCCTGACACTCTGCTGATATTCACTGGCTGACTGGATGGTAATAAGGTGGCAAGATTGTCAGGGAGGGCAGAGAACAAGAATCAAAGTAGCAGGAACTAGAGTATACCTTTGTTTTTATTTTTATTTTCTGGTAATTCACTTTTACTGTGCTTTACACAAAGAATTAGTCTGTGAGACTGGAAATTATTCAAATGAAACAAAAAGCAACAACTGTCCTTCAACTGAGATAGTTTGAGAAACTGATATAGAGCCAGCTATTCGTTTAGAGTCATGTGGAAATGGTGCAAGATAGAGTTGCTAGACCTCCTAGCCATTTATTTAGCAGCCTAGTAAAGATTTAAGTGTAGTAGGGTTCCCAGAATGAGTCACCGGTTATAACTTCGGAAATTCATTTTGTTTGCAGTTCCCAGTATTCTAATCGTGCACTGTGTTGGCCCACACCCTGCAGATCCCATCCATCACTAAGGCAAATGTTTATAGGCTAGATGAGCTGCCACAGGCTTGTAGGTAAATGCTGAAGAAAGTGACAGTGCATCTCTCTGAGCAGACTGTTCAGCAAGTAACAAAGGGACAAAATGAAGTCCACTCAACACTGCTCTAGCCTCAGTGTATGTGGGGTATGCTTTACTCAGCACTTAAAAGGTTTGAGTAATTCCCATGTCTGTTATTTCCTGCCATGTGGAAGCAAAAACTGATCCAAGACTTCTGATCTCTGTATCTTTCCTAATTCCCTGGAGGGTTGGAGTGACTTACCTAGTAAGTCCATACAGAAGATGAATTTAGCTCTTCTTCACTCTTTTTAGTGGAGGAAAGTGTTCTAATGGGCTTCACATGAGTCCCGTGGCTGTCTGGTTGTGGGTTCTGACTCTGGGGTTCAATATTAGGGAGGCAATTGTTTCAATACACCCTAAGAAGGTTTTTTTTTTCTTCCAGTATCAGTGTCATTGGTAATTGATCTGCATTTTAATCTTCATCTGTTGACATATTATGTATCTCTTCTTGGTTTAAAATTTGCGTAGGAAACAATATTTGGGGGGTGCCTCTCGAAGACTTCACCAGAGCATGGTGATTTCACATGGTGGTCTTATCTAGTGGGCTATTTTAGTCTGTATTCTTCACTTGCTTCCTATTTATTTCCTAATAGAGGAACTGAAATTTTGAATCACGTGGTTACTCTATTATACCTGATTTCCCTTCTGCAGAGTAGGAGCCAGACTTTCCTCCTTCACTCTGGGGAAGGATCTGGCTGGGCCAAAGAGTCCTTCTTCCCACACCTCTCTGAGTATATTTCTCCTTGAGTTGTGCCTCTATTTTTCCAGGTTTCTGGAGGGTCAATAAGTTCATGTGACATTCATGATGGAAAACAAACACAAAAATCCCAAGGGCTCTGGAATCAAATGAAGAATCAGAGATCAGAGTTTGCTCTTCTAAAAGATATCAAGACAAAATGCTTTACTAACAATTTTTGGGGCAGAACTATAGTTCAGGCAAGCAGAAAAGAGCTGTTTTCATGGCTCAGTAAAGGCTTTTTCCCCCCCCCGAGCTCAGTGTTTAAGCATACAGTCTGGTTTGCTGAGACTTAGTTACAAGTCACTCTTGCTACAGTCTTCCTTAACCTTGCATTTCTCTTTGGATCACTGGAACAGTATTTGGCTAAGCTGCCTGCAAACATTGCCTACTCTAAGTCTAGAGTCCCATTTGCTTCTGCTGGTATCCTGTCTTACTGGTGACTGACCATACCTGAATGTGCTTCAGAGGAATGAATGGCCAACCCTGGATTCCCTGTCTCTCTACTGATACCATGTTTCCTCAAGTGGACCTTGTCTATGCCAAAAGCTTTAACTTTTACCTTTTTTTTTTTCTTTCTTGTTTCAAGCACATGGTATTTCATGGGGGACACAGAATCACTTACAATTTTAATACACTCAGGGAAAGCAGTGACCCAGAACAAGGTTCTACCAGGTAACAGGGGAGAAGACCCAGGAGAAAGTAATCTCCCATTGAGAGTCTTATTAAATACCAAGTGTTCATCATATATTACAACAGCCTCCACCTCCTCACGTGACCCACAGTCACTACATACGACTGCTCACAACAGTCCTACTTGCCAGAACAGGTCAACACAGCAGGCTCATGGCATAGTCTTGAGTTCCCAATACTACCTACCATGGCAACCTGCTAGTTGGGCGGGCTCTGAGAGCCGAGCGGACAGTGGGTGGAGGTGGGTGGAGGAAGGTTAGGTTAGGTGCTGCTGTCGTACAGAAAACTGTACCAGAGATATGCACCCAAAGTGACAACTGAGGCCACGCACATTTTGACCAGGAAGAGCTTCCAGCTGGTCAGCTCGAGTGCTGGCTCCTCTTTCTTCTTCCTGGACTGCTTCTTCTTAGCAGAGAGGGCCACCTGCCAGCGCAGGCTTCTGCCACGCTTCCGACTTCTAAATTCAGTGACTTGACTCATGCTTTCCATGCTGTGGGGGTGCCTCAAGGGTGTCTTGGTTTCCTCACTGATAGGGCCATCTTCATCCGCCTCAGCCCCATCCTTCACCCGCTGATGTTTTGAGAACTCCTTTCGTTTCTCATTGTGTGGCTCCAGGATTTCCCTGGGCCTCTGGAAAGGTGGGGGCACATGCCCGGGTAGGGGCTCCAGGTCCTCGTGGGACAGCTCCTTCCACTGTTCCTTCACTGAAGAGTCTCCCATGATGAACTTGGCGCCTTCGATCACGACCAGGTAGGAGAAGCGCAGCTGTTCAGCTGTCTGGATCAGTCCCATCCGGAACTTCCTCATTTCCAGCAGCACTTTCTTGATATCCAGGGAAGAAGGGTCTTTCCTTTTTTCCATCAGTAAGAGGCAGGTGTCAGCTAGGCAGAAGGTCCCCGACCTGCCAATGCCAGCACTGCAGTGCACCACTATGGGGCCATGCTCTGGACTAAGTGACCCCGACTCGCGAACTTTGAAAAGAAAGTTCAGGAACGAGGCTGGTGATTCAGGGACTCCAAAGTCAGGCCACGTGGTATAGTGGAAATGTAAGATCTCTCGAGTTTCTTGATTCGCAAGGTTCTCTAGCTCCAACTGTCGCACTGTATAGTATGACTTGATGTCTTCAGAGATCAATGTTAATTTCAAATTTGTGTCCTCAAAAATCATCTCTGTTTTTTCTTTTGGTGGCCAATACTGGGCACATTTTAATAAGCCTCTCTCCATCAATCGGTTCAGCATGACCACAGCCCTGCTTTTCTGCTCCCACACCATCTCCCAGAAGTGCCCACACGTATTAGGTAAAGGGCCCTGGGTGAGAATGTAACTCCTCTCTGCTTCTTCCATTTTTATCAAACTAGCATTGATATAGTCGTTATCCTCCTGCTGTAGCTTAATCCGACTGTGGTCAAAGGGACTGACGTCTCGGTACCTGTTTCGGCTTCTGTTCTTAGGAAGGTTTGCCACTCTACAGGGGAAGTCACTGGCTTCACGTTCGATGTCCTGGTAAATGTCCTCCCAGCTCCCGGCCTTTTCGATCTGCTCAAACTCTTTCTCCATCTCCACAACTGGCCAGGGCGGCTCCTGCTCCGCCCACTGTCTGGCATCGGCTGCTCTAAGGTGCCTCGCGCTTTGAGCCCGAAGCCCGCCAACGCCACCACCACCCTAGCCGCAGCTGCTACTTACCTTTTTGAATATGGTATTTCATTTGTCATATTACTGTACATTATAGATTAAGCCCTTCAAAATGACAATACTCACACTTGACAGTATCTCTGATTTGTCAGTGTTTCTATATTCAATTTATCATTCAACTTTCCTAGACCAAACATTTTTTTTTTTAATGTTAAAAAAGCATTAATGCAGGGCTGGGATTGTGACTCAGTGGTGGAGCGCTCATCTAGCGTGTGCAAGGCCCTGGGTTCAAGCCTCAGCACCACATAAAAATAGATGAATGAAGCAAAGATATTGTGTCCAACTATAACTAAAAAATAAACATTTTTTAAAAAGCATTATTGTATAAAAGTATAGGCTCTAGTCTGTCTCTTTGGAAAGTTACTGACCTTGTAACAAACTATGAGTAAATTCCCTAAAGTAGGATGAACCAAGAGTAATTTATATTCATATGTAAGCATAATTATAGTATACAGTTGCATAACTAGAATAAAGCAATTGTAAATATACCAGGAAGAAGGAAGCACACAAAACTTTAAAAACTTACATGAGGGGGCTGGGGATGTAGCTCAGTATAGCGTATTTACCTAGCATGCTCAAGGCCCTGGGTTTCATCCCCAGAATGACACCCCCTCCAAGAAAAAGAGCTCCCTCCAACCCTATGTGAAGTACAAAAATGTTGAACCATGTAAGAGCCAAGGCTTCATTATCTCCACAACCTTGGAGACCTAGAATGTGAGGTAGCCTTAGCCAAATGGCTTCAGTATTACAGTGCCTCCTATTATAACAGGCTAGGCAATTGGCAATGAAATTGGAGTAGAGGTAAAACCTGCAGGTGTTATGCAGCATGTCACATAGTAAGTGAAAAACAGCAAAGAGGTAGTTCTTTATTCTTGAGAATTTTCTTGTACACATGATCAATGTCTGTGTGTACCTGGAAGAGAAACAATGCTACTAAAATGTCTTTTTCATGTTATGTACATGTCACAGTGAAACCTACTATTCTATTTATTATTATGCACTAATAAAAAAATAAAACCAAAATGTTTTGTAAAAACGTCTAAGTTATGGCCTTGGGATGTAGCTTAGTGGTACAGTGCTTGTCTAGCACGCAGAAGGCATTGGGTTAGACCTCTAGCATAGCAAACAAACAAACAAACAAACAAAAAACAAAGCTATACTCTATAAATATGCACTATTACTATATTACTGTGTCAATTAGAAATAAATACATGTAAACAGACATTATTTTTTTAAAAAGTCAAATGTAATAAAAAGCTTTGAGGAATGGGGGGGAAAATCTATGTTTGGAAAACATCAGCTTGCTTACCCAGGAAATCAACAGAACTTAATTTTCATTTCAGCACAGGGCTGCTGGGCACCCAGCTCCCTTCTCTCTGGATAGCAAACAAATCCCTAAGTTGCTGCTGAGCCATACTTGAAAGGCCAGTCAGGAAATGAGCAGCACTCCCGAATGGGAAAGCCTGGATCAATGTTTTTTTCTAAAGTAAATAAAAGATCTGCAAAAGTATTTCCTTGCACTATTTGGCAAGAGAAAGAAGCACCTGGAGAGTGAGTTAGGAAGGCAAAGCACATAAGAAATGGAGTAAAACAAGGATGGTTATAATGAAGCTTTGTCTCACTAATCTCCAGAGCCCAAGTGTTCTAATAGGAAACAAAGCTGCAAATGAAGAGACACTCACAGAGACTGGTTGATTACAGATATATTCATGGAAAGGATGAGTAGATAAATACTTTTCTGGATCCTGAATTTTATCTTTCATTTGGATTCTTTCGAAAGAAAGAACTTTAAAAACATCTTCTGGAAAGTCAAAATGGAATATATGTGTTAAAATAAATGAGGGCTGTGAGGAAGAAATACTAGCAATGAGAAAAAGCAATTATCCTTGGAGGCAGAAATTTCCTTCTTGCTTCAGTGCAGCATGTGATGCTGGCAATTTTAGCCATTTTCTTTCAGGTGATTTTCAGTTCCAAATACTGCTTGGGGGGCCACTATCTCAGCTGAATCTGAGGGAGCTGGGCACAAGCCTTAGGAGAAAGACAGGTTACTCTTGGGAGGCAGGAACTGAGAGAAATGAGGCAGTAATTGCATGATGTTGCTTGTGCTAAGCACATAGCATTAAAAAAAATAATAAAAAATAAAAAACTCACTAATATAATTGACTCAACAGTGGTTCATTGCTATTTTCTTTTTAGTTATAGATGGACATAATACTTAAACTATTTTATTTATTTATTTTTATGTGCCACTGAGGATAGAACCCAGTGTCTCACACGTACTGGGCTCTACTACTAAGCCACAACCCCAGCCCCACAATGGCTCATCGCTAATTTTAGGAAGTCATATAGTGTTAGTGCTTTTTCCCAATGAAAGGTGACTGCCCTTCCCCAATATTTTGGAGAAAACAACAGATGATATATAATGATTAACTTAGGAAAAATTAATTTCTGCAATGAATTAGAAAGAGTCACAAAAAGGAGCAATGGATGGAAAATACAGCCAGAGAAGGTTGAGGTGGGAGGCTCAACTGAGCTCACTAGTTCAGGACTAGCCTGGGCAACCACACAGAGGGACCCTGTCTTAACAACAACAACAAAAAAAAAAAAAAAGAGGAAAGGAAACGAAAGATTGCCAAAGTCCTTTTCTAAACATAACAAAATTCCTACCTTCCTTAACCAAACCTCAATAGCCCAAGTAGGAGTGATGATGCTTGGAGCTTTTTAGGAAGCAATCAATGGCTTATTTTATTTGGCAGGTAACATCTGATAGAAAATCATTCTTTTTTTTCCTGGGGTTCCAGGCTCAACTTAGGGCCTACCTGCTGGAAAAAATCAAAGTTAAAGACACAGATCACTGGGATGCCAAAGACACAGCTACCTGGATACTATTTGTGACTGCTTGAAGTCAATGTGCTCCTAAAGTATTGATTCTTCCCCCCTGTTTATGAAATGTTAACATGTATTTATTCATTCACCTGCCTCTGGCTGTTCCTTACTAAAGGTTAAGTGGTTGTGAAACCACAGGCACTGGAGAATCAAAGGCTGTTGTTTTAAGCTCTTAGCCAAGTAGTTGTGCCTTGTAGGTTGCCTTTCATGAGCTCTAGCGGCAGCTTAGGGTGGGTTGTCTTTGACCATCTGGAGTTTTTAATGTGTTCCATCCATCTCATGCCAACCCAATTTGCTCAGTTAGGATCACTGTGCTCTGAGACCCTTTGAGATCATGATGCTCAAGGGAGCTGTGTTCTGTGGCCTCCTGGGCCTCTCCTGCAGGTGCACTTGCTTTTTCGGTTTGATGCTATTTTTCTTACTCTCTGTAGGCATTCACCGCAGAACTATTATTACTTGCTTGTTACTGCATGTTGCTGATTCATACTCATAGGAAAAATTAATTTTGTCTTCAACACCTCTTCCCTGTCATTTAAGGCATATGTTAATGAAAGACAGATTTTGGCATCTACTCTCCTCTATAGCGCTGAGACCACAATACCGATTCATTATAAATGAAGATACAACTGTTATTTTACTTCTATTTATATTTATAACTACACCAAAGCCATCTTGCAGGTACCTTTGTGCCTCTCAAATCCCAGACCATATTCCAAGAAATGCTCAACATTTCATGCTTGAATTGGCATTAATGTGGCATTAATGTACATACAAGGTTTTAAATAAAGATGTTTTTACTCATGTTTTATTATTGACACTTCCTGATTTCACATATTTTAGATTACGATAGAGCTGAATCTCTTTGAAGACATTTTAAGGGCTTTTCCTCCCTTATAGCACAGAATGGTTTTTTCCTTTAAGTGAGGAACAGGCAAGTGAGGAGTGCTCTGCTAGGAGGGATGCCAAACACAAGGCTGAAGCCTGAAGGGGGTGGGGCAAGAGCAGAAATGAGCCCAAGCTGAATGCTGAAAAGAACTGATTGAAAGCTTTTTGCTTTGTCATTCCTCTGTTCCTTTCTTTTCCAATTTTAACTGTGGACAAGGGCAGCCTACTTATTTCCTAGAATGACTGGATCTAGAATGAGCTATAACCTTGAAGACAGTCTGATCCAAACTCCTGCCCATTGCTACATAGCTCATCACTTGATTCAGAAGCCCTCTCTTCTCCAGCACCTTTTCCAGCAGCACTTGTGCCCATCAATTAAAAGTGCAGGATGAAGGGGAGGTTTTGGAATTAGATAGTTCTGAGTCCACATTCTGGCTCTGACACTTAATAGCTCTGATTTCCTCAGCAAGTTACCTAACACTTCAAAGCCCCAGTCTCATCTGTTAAATGGCTGTAATAAAAGCTAATTCATAGGAGCTTGAGGATTAAAGGAAGGACCGTGTACAGTGTATACAAAATTTAGCACTCACAGCTAAATGGAGAGTAGCTAAGTGGTTCAATAGGAACTAGGACCCATGCTTTCTGACTCCCAGGCAATACTTTTTCCACAGCATGATACTGTTTCTCTCACACAATGTCTCATAAAACCTTTGAAAAGTATCTGTTGAGTACTGTGTGTGCTGCCTTGTAGATTGTAAATGCTGTTATTACTAACAATACCTCACATATATATATTCAGTGCTCTAGAATTTCCAGCTTTCACAAGTTGGAAAATACCCACAACAACTGGTGACTAATAGAGGGGGGAAGGAGGAACAGAGGCTTTGAAAAAAGTGATTAGCGATGCAAATGTGAAGTCATCTGCACTTGTGAGGAGCATAATAAACATTAGAACCAATTAAAAGTAACAATGTGTGATATATTCAGGCTTCAGAACTTTGATGAGATGGAAAAAACAACCGGGATACTACATATGGAGTTTTGGGGCAAGAATTCAACTTACCTGAATCTAGATGGTTCAGATGGCTTTAAGTTGGGCCTACAGGAGGGCAGCTATTTGCATATGGGGAAATTTTTATATACAAACTAGAATACTGCAAGGATTTAGAATTACATAATGGTAGAAACCCGGATGTGTTCACAATTTGGAGACAAAGCATATGGAACTGAAACAAGCAAAGCAAATAAGTTCTCAGAAGTCAATGTTAACTGGGTGTTTCAATGTAGACAAATGTGACATTCTGAATAGCAAAACTTGCAATAATAAAAACTGTTATCTTGACTTTCTCACAACCTTCTAAAGTAGTTCTTCATGTGAGAATTTTTACATTTGGACAATGCTCAAAAGTGAATTTTTAGAAATAGAAACGGAGGGTACATTTTAAATATATTTCATTGTTGCTGTGGTATTAGAGGATAAATACACCTTTTTCTGTTAAAAAGAATATGGTATTCCCTCAGAAGATGAATTTTTAGATCTCAGACTATGCATAAACCAATTGGTCCCTGCTTTATGGAGGTGAGGGGAAAATTAGAATTTCAAGTAGTTATCAAATATTTTAAGCTAATACCCAAGCAGATACATTTTTAACACTTTATGAATTTTCCATATCTATAAACAAAATTCCAAATAGGCCTTGCCCTTTTCTTTTTCTGCCCAAATCTAAATTTTTGCCTGTCAGCAAACCCTGAGGAGGAGGTTGATACAGGTAAGTTAGGAAAGAAAAAGACTTAAGTGGACAAGCAGAAGACACCAGGAAAGGCCTGCTGTGCGGCCATGTGGAATAGGAGGTCTATACTGGACAAAGCCCAAGACAGCCTGGTTTGTGTCTCACAGTCCAAATTTGGTTGATGTATTTTTGAAGCTTCTAAAGGTTAACTCACATGCTGTAATACATTATAGAAAGACATGAAGCTGAATTTTACTGTGCCAGTCAAGAGCCTGGCTTGAATCTGCTATTTAGAACTGAGAGAGACAGTACAATTTACATGTGTGAGAATGTGAGAATAATTTTACCTTCTGTTGTTTTTAAAACCACCTTGGGCCATGATTTTTAAACGGAGACAAGAGAAGATCTGCTGGGGTTCCCATAGCAACATTAACTTATCTAAACTGCCCTTGTTGTATGTAATACTTTCCTGACTAGTTTGGCTTTTAAATGTACGCTTTAATTATGAAATACACGAGTTAAGAGTCTCAGGCAAATTTTTACTCTTACATTTACTGATGTATGCACATTTAAACAGAAATTGATAACTATACTTCTTAGGACTTCCCACCAAGGCAAGTTTATGCAAAAATTTTTCTGTGGTCTTCTTTGCCACTGATTTCTGACTCACTCCATTCCACTGTATAGACAACTCTTCAACAAATCTCTCTAACACTTTTATAAAACACTATAGCAAGTATGAAACAGAAATCAACTTCAGATGGCTCCAGTTGAAACTAGAAGTCAACACACAGATATTCTAGACTGTTTCCGAACTGACTCGTTCTTGCCCATCTTCTCTCTACTATTCCTCATCATTAACATTTCACACCAAAAGACTTGTCTTATTCTGAGGACAGAAAGTCCAAGGACTAGCCTGAAGCCCACCTCCTCTAAGAAGCCTGATTCTTTTTAAAACTATGTCAAGTGTTACCACTACTAGGTGATGTGTTGATGGTGACAGACCAACATCCATCCTCCTCTTTTTGATAACAGGGTTTTGATTTTCCTTTGAGGAACTTTCTTCCACTCACACATTCTGGTGGTAAATCAATTAAGCTGCCTTGCCCCCAGTTCAATAAGAGATGAACCCATGACCTAAGCTGGACCGATTCTATTCCTCTAGAAAACTGAATTTCAAATAATTTGAAAAGGAAAAACAGATGAAACTTAATTATTCCAATGATGGCCCTTTCAAGAAATTGCCCATTTCTTCCAGATGCTGGGACTCACAATCAAAGTTCACTAGCTAATGAGTTCTCCATGTGAGTATTTGTTCATATATTATCTTATATCATGATTTAGAGGTTTAAGATATGCACATTTTGCTTTGCCAGCTAGATTCTACTTACGCTCCCTGAAGACAGGGCTGGGTCTTTATTGATTATATTATTTTACATAATTCAGCACAACATAAAGTACTCAGTGAATATTATGTAATGAAAGACCAATCTTAAAAACTCCATTTTTACAAAGTGAAGTTTGTAAACCAACATGTGTTCTTTGAGAAGTGGAGTAAATAAATCTTTAATTGCTATAGGAATTTTCTTGGTTATGACAGTTGTCCTAAAGAGAGTCTACAACAACTTGTACATCTAAGAATGGCCTAAAAGTAATGTTAGCTTGGCCATACTTTCCCAATTTTAGAAAAGAAAGAGAAACTAAAATTGCATTTCAGACAATAGTTTTTGAATCAAAAAACAAAAATATCAAACCAAACCAAACATACAAACAAAGAAAGCTTTGGGGGAAAAATAATAATATATCTTGATATTGGGCTTGTAGCTTTCCCTAGAAACATGACATACTGCCTATCTGCCACAAGATGACAATGGAGGAGGGCTTGACTGGGAAAAATGCTTTACTAAGCCTATATATATAAATATAGAAGATGATTTTTCTGCTTCTTAAAAAATGGCAGGTTATAGTTTCTCAAAATTATCTGATTTATTTTAGTAATTTAATTGAATGTTTTTAAAACTCAGGGAAAAGCAAAATTGGTAGATGTAATAAACCCAAACAAGCTTGGGTATCAAGTTTTGAAAACACAGAAAGTGGTACACTCTTCCAAATCACTTAAATGTGCTTCAAATGCTCGAAGAGCTCACCCATGATAAGACAGAAGGAAACAAATTCTCTTCTTCTTTTTGTCTTTTGAGAAATAAAAGATTTGCAGGAGCCTTTGGATAGTGTAGTCTTCTGGCTTTGTACTTCATCATGGTACATAGTTCAGTCATGAGAAAAGAATGAAAATATCACTTGGAGTTATTCTGACTTGGGTGCAATGGTTTCTGGAATTTTCCTTGAACCCACACTCGGTGCATTTTCACTTGTTTTTTCCTATTAACTTGTAAGCGATGATCAACCAGATTTTGCTTTTCATCTAGCCCAGCCTTGCAGAACAAACGGTGGACTTCCCCTGTAAGACAAAAATGGCAAAGACAGGACATATGACTAAGGAGGAGGTAATGAACAATGGAATATTAGTGGAATGTTTGACATTCAAATTTCATTTATACCAAGAAACACTGTCCAATACAACTAGGTGAAGGAGTCTGTGAAACCAAACAGGTTTCTTCTACCTTAGAAAAATATACCAAGCATAAACAGACTAACATAGCAGGCATAAATGGATACACAAAACTATTGGTTGCTGCTTTCAATATTTGAAAAGTGCCACCTTTCTGAGCTTTTTTGTTGGTTTACAGAGACCCTAAATGATACGTTATAAGAGTACTTACATAAGTTTTGGGAAGTCTTTGAATGCAGGATTCATTTGGTACTGTCAGAAATGCTTTTTTAAAATGAGAAATTGACTAGAGGTAAGTAATTTTCTATAGACTTATAAAATTCCCTCTTTGGGCTGTGGAATATTATCAATTTTTCATATCCAGGCTAACAATATCTCCAAAATTACATATTGCACCTTTACTTGAGTTGAGAGTATAGCAGGTGATTCTTTAAAGTAGTTTTAACTGGAAGAAGATTAAAAGGCAAAAAGGCCATTTTCAAGTTTTTAACGTAGATTACAAGCACCAAACTATGAAGCTATCCAATATTTGATCATGACTAAAGCCTCAAATTTATAGCTTTTGAGTTTCTCCATGCAAATAATAACCAAAAAGAGTTTTTCAAGATAATTATTTCCTCTTGTAGGTTAGCATACCTTTTGTAAAGAAATATGCTCTGGTACCGTCTCCTCGAACATAAAAATTTTCAGATAAACAATGCCCTAAAAAAAAAAAGAAAGAAAAGAAAAGAAACACTTGGTATTTCTTAAAAAACAAAAACCCCAAACAACCTGACATGAAATAGATAAACAGAACATTCTTTAAAACACATAAAAATAACCCCAAACTGAATATATCATTACCCTTTTTAAAACGAAGCTGGGTATTATCGTATCTCCCATAGTCCCGAAATAACAGCATTCCACCAGGCTTCAGTAACTTTGACAGCCGGTTGACAACACCTTGCATCCTTTGAAAACAAAGCAAGATACCCTGTTTGTGGAAATCTTCTGCCAGATTTAACCTTCTTAAAAACAAAGTCAGAGAAGCTCAATAATGCCAAAGAAATTTAAATCATCAGTGTAAAGGCAACAAAAACAAACATATTGTGTAAAGAAGGAATTAAAAAAAAAAAAAAAGAGCCAGGTATGGTGACATATGCCTAGGGGATCAGGCGGCTGAGGCAGGAGGATTCCCAAGTTCAAAGCCAGCCTCAGTATTGGTGAGGCACTAAGTAACTCAGCGATACCCTATCTCTAAATGAAATATAAAACAGGATTGGGGATGAGGCCCTGAGTTCAATCCCTGGTACCCTTCGCCCCCCCCCCCCAAAAAAAGCTATTGACTTGCTAAATGACCAGATTCAAAAGCCCTACAGTTTCAAGAAATCACCCAAATGACTCTTCATACAGCTTGATATATGATGCTGAAAGCTGAACTGCAAAACCATTAGATGTCTCTTAATATTTAAGCAAAGCAAGGTTGTTCTGAGGGAGACAAAAAGTGAAGATACTTCATTTTCCTTGCAAAATAAAAACTACGCCACAGTCATTCCAAATTGTACATTATCCAGACAGGGATTATCTTTCCCCAAAATTAGTTCATTCTTCTGATTAATTTTTTGTTCAAAGGTACTCTCATTCAATTCATGAAGGAGAGGTAATTTTTCTCTTCTTCTATCCTATCTGTGTGGGCATTAAATTCTACATCCTCTCTCTCCTGCTTTTTCTTTTTTCTTTTTTTAATGACATATTTGTTGTTTTCTCTCTTTTTTCCCCCATTGGAACTCCCTTAGTACAGACTCCTCACTTCCTAACATGCTTTTTATTCTCCCATCAACTCTCTCTGCACATTATCAGTGAATTATTCTGCTTAAAATGGTGGTTTTGACCATCAATCTCCTTGTTTACAAATTTTTGTGATTTTTAACCCATAGGGCAAATTTTTATTTCTTAGCAGAGTTCTTAAGATCTCTTACTAATGACCCCAATGAATCCCTCCAACATCCTTTCTACTTATTCCCAATCTGAAGCCCCTCCTCTAGCCACACTGTTACATGCTTGGTTCTGAGCACCTATTCCTTATGGAAACCATTGCTTATATGGTTTTCTCTCTCTCAAAAAAATCTCTTTTCCTTAATCCCTGCCTATTTAAATTTTATTCACACCACAATTCCTACCTCAATACTGGAAAGCCTTATGCTTTCTTCCTTTTATTCTACTTCTATGACTTGCAGTCAAATATGACTCCTTATAACTGCTTAACTTTGTGTTTGGGGTTACGTGTTCATGGTGCATGTGTTGTTATGCGCCAGGGATGGCAGATTCAGATCTCATGTCAATACTGAGTGAGTGGCATTAGTTGCCTATGGAGTTCTGTTCAGGACTCACAGAGCCCACTGGGAATGACAATCAAAGTACAAAACTGATTATCAATGTCTGCCAAGGGCAGAGAATGGTAAATGGCAGCCTGTGTTGTCCTTGTGGTCTCTGCTTTATCCAAGCTACTTAAAGCTGCTGAGGTTTTCTACTTTGAAAACGAGGAGTTTAGATTTGTTAATATGTAAATTACTTCCAATTACTTTAATATGTAAATTAAAACACTGTTCAGTGGAATAGAGGGGTATAAGCCATATTATATCATGTTATGAAGGAAATAGATGAGAAAATGAAAGCTACTATGAAAACAAGAAAAATATGACAGAGATTGTAGATTAGGTGAAAAGTCCTTTTAAAAAATGGGAACGAAGGTACACGAAATGGAAAAAAAAATATATTTTTTCCTTGTTTATTATAAATCATTTTCATATTGTGCTTATATCCTTGGGCTTTGTCAATGAAAGAAAACCATACCTAACCCTTAAAATATTCACTTTCAAGATAAATGTTTTATGTATATAGCAAAAGTTCTGTAATTGTTAGTAAAACAAAGATGAAACTAAAATGCAAAAAAATAAAAACCATGGACTTCAAAATACAGCTAGCTCCGTCTGCACATCCTTTCCTCCAACTATCCTCTAATGTCTGGGCTTGTGGATAAAGGTAAGGAGCAGGGCGTTGTTCTTCTTGAGCATCCTGGTTTTGGGTCAGACTGCAGTTCCAGAGCTGCTTCTTGAGAACCACAGATGGGACCAGGCTGGAGAAGAGGTGAACAAGACAAAAATGGGACAAAGCCCTTTTTCTTTCTTTTTCCTGCTTGGGCTGACTCTGCTATATTCTCCTCTGCTGGAGGGAGATGATGAGAGGGAAGGATGGGACAGGACAAGGAAAAGAAGAGATTTAAAACATGAGTATTTGTAGATTATCTACTCTATGCTTGGATCTACAGGAAGTATCTTAT